ATCCAAGTACCTACTTAACTCCTTTGGACCCTTCGGGTCATACCGTTGATGACATAAATCCTGCATTAAACATAGTAAGGAATATACCATAATTCCCATAGTTTAGGGTCCTTAAGGTCATGCAGGGTTTATGTCATCAACAGTAACAGTGAAGGCCGGGGGAAATGATTTCTCGCATGCATCGCGAGATTTGAAGGATCCTTAGGGGCTTATGATAAGGGTAGGGTTTAGGGTTTTGGGTTTAGGGTTTAGGGGATCTTTAGGGGCTTATGATAAGGGTAGTTCTCTAAATTCGGGTCCCTGTTGGGCTCTTTTTTTGGTCAGGGTGCCGTACTATATGGGGGACCCCAAAAGGCCCCCTAAGTTAGAGAACTATCCGGAAGGGTTTAGGGTTTGGAATTTAGGGTATCAAAGTTTACACTTTATTCTCAGGGGTGCAGATTCGGAGTTGAGGGTTTGAGCTTGAGGGCGTAGGGTTTGTCTCCCTGGCTCTTAGTAGGGAATGGGGGGATGGATCCCTATGATAGTCCCTTAAGGTACCCTTTTGGAGTCCCAATAACCCATTCCCCCATTCCTGAACTCAGAACTAGTCAGTTGTGCTCGGAGGTTTAGGGTTTCGGCCTGGCTAGACTCATCCAGCGCTGCTTCCCGGATTCCCAGCTGATCAGAAGAGCCTGGGGGTTCACAAAAAGGCCTGGTTCGACTTGAGCCCAGTGGTGCATAAACATAGGGGGTTTGAGCTTGTCCTTTGAACGTCCTCCTTCCGCGCCGCCTGAGGAATCGCACCTGCAGCGCAGCATCAAAGTACCGAGCGCCAGGTCCTGCTGCCGGGATACGTCTGACACATCTGACTCAAAGAGGCTGCTCTTGGAAAGTGGTCTTAGAAAGGAACCCTAACCCTTTCAAAACCCGAAGGCCCTAGAAAGTAGTATAGCCACTCAACCCCCCCCCCCCTTATTTGTTCTTCGGTGTTCCTGGAACCGTTTCTTGAAGGGTTCCTTTGGAGTGAAGGTTCCTTACAGCGCGTGTTCAGAGGGGGTTAGGGTCAGGTTTTGGGGGTGTAGGTTAAGTTTAGGAGTTAGGCTTGGTTTTAAGTCCGATAACTCCTTTGCTTTGTATTCCCAACAGAGATGGAATCCCACCCTGAACCCTAAACCGGATTCTTCCGTGGCCAATGAGGATCAAGCCACTTTCAGCGTAGCTCAGCAGCTTCCCCTCAGTCTTGCAGAATGCCGACCGTTCCGGAAACCATGAAGGCCTGGGTTCAGGTCAGGGTTCCGGGGGGGGGTTCGGGTTTACGGTTTAGGGTTTAGGGGTTTAGGGATTAAGGTTTAGGGTTTAGGGGTTTAAGGTTTAGGATTTAGGGTCAAGGGAGTTCGGGTTTAGGGTTTCTGGTTCAAGGTTGCCTCTTGTCGCAGCAGCAGGTTTGGCCAGGTTGGGCTTCATGGCATGTCCTGGCGGGTATCGATTATGTTCAGTGTCGTGGCGACCTTTAGAACGGTGAGATAGGTCTGATGGGATGATAAAAAGAAACAGCGCGCCCCCATGTAGCAAAAGAAACAGCGCGCCCCCATGTAGCAAGGACTAGAATGACTAGCGCTTTGCGCAATGCGCTCTCCGCGTGTATGGGGGACTCAATGGCCCCGACACCCGTCTGCTCCCCACCTGCATATCCCGGAAGTATCATAAGGCTCCACTTTTTGGAAGCCTTGTTATGATCCTCCCTCGATGTGATCCCCAAGCTCAGCAAGGCCATCAACGAAGCTTGCCGGAGCAAAGGTGGTCACTATGGAGGCCGGCATCGCCAGTTTTTGGCAATGTAGGATCCTTTCAGCCTTTGCTTCGGGCACAAAGGATCAGGCATGGCATGCGCCATGCTAGGTACTTCTCAACCCCCTTCAGCACACAAGGTCGTAATTGACTTACAGCAACTTTCTCGTGGAAACAATGTAAAGCTAGGTCGTCTCATTAGCCAATAGTTGGCTGACTGGGAACCACGGACCTCATCTGGCGAGTCCGAGTGGAGAGAGGGGTTTTCCTGAGCCCCACCCTAAACCCTAAACCCTGCCTGTAACCGAAGCGACCTACCTTTTTGGGGTTCCTTATTATGGTTTCTATATATAGTTCCTTGAAAAAGGTAGGTCTTTTCGGTTGCAGGTAGACCCTAAGTGCATGCCGCAGGCTGCAGCTGCAAGGTCGTGTCGTGGGACGACGTCAGCAGGGGCACTGTGGGAGGTTCCCTCTCTTGCTGGGGAGCCAACATTACGGCTGCCCGGCCTAAATAATTGACTGCTTTCGCCGATTAGCTTGAGTCGGGTTAGAGGGTGGGTTTATGAGTTTATAAGGGTTTGGGGTTTAGGGTTTTGGGGTTTTGGGTGCTACTCGTAGGGGTTCAGGGTAATAGGGGTTTGTGGTTTAGGGTTTTTTGGGGGTTCGGTGTCGGGAGTGTGTGATCAGTATACTTAGACCCGTAGGCAAACCCTTCTACTGGGCCCTGCATACCCTTTGCGGCCTTACTTCCCTTGAGTTCACTATCCGAGTAGACCCACCAGTCTACCTCGATAGACCGAATCGCTCAAAACCTGAACCGTAATGCAGACTCCCAACCCCTTTTTCAGACAAAGAAATGCCGAATGCCAATCCTACCTGTAGCCGGAAAGCCCTACCTTAAATAGGAAGTATACATATAGAAACCATCATAAGGATCCCCCAAAAAAAGGTAGGTCCTTTTCGCCTGCAGGTAGACTCTAAAACGAATTTCAATCGTAGCTCCTAGCCCTTGTCAGGCGCCTTTGCTGTCTTCAACCCCAAGTCAGAAATGCCATTCCAGCCTGCCCCCCCAAGACCCCTGCACCATCAATCCCAGTCGCAGCCCACCGATGATTCCTAAACTTCGGGAGCACTTAAAGACAAGACACCCCGAGTCCCGGACCCTCCATGATTTCGCGACCCGAAGCCCGAGGTCCACCCCTTTCGAACTCTTCAGGACACCCTCACTCTGAACCGCGTTTAAGCCAGGATGGATGCCCTCAACACCGAACCCTTTCTAAAGCCTTGAGGACACTTATCTCAAGAGCCGCAGTGGCACTGCGCTCTTCACCGTGCGGAGCAATAACTGGAACGAGAAGCTCGGGTATATCGGCGCGGAGGACCCGTGAGTCATAGACTGTAGTGGGGGTTTTGCATGGCTTACGTTTTTTCCAACCATCGGACTCTATAGTTTTATTCAGTTCAGGGTACTGAAATTAAGATCGGTCTCCACGAAGAAAAGGACGAAGAAACAAAAGCAGCTGCGACGTGGTTAAAAGCCCATTGGTGGTGCCCCACTGATGCCAAATGGCCAAGTCTGTCGTTGCGGACATGGTGCAAACTACTGTACTACTGATAATTACCGAGTACATCGGAACACGCTTACTTGAGCAGTGTGAGACTCGCCTTCTGATCCTGCAACAAATGTTCTGGTGCTTGTGGGAGTCTATAGGAAAAGACATTTTTCAGGTTAAGCTCGATGAGGTAGCGATACGGGTCGTTGGGGTTGGGGGTGGCGGCGAAGTGAAAGAAACCCCAGACCCTTCGAGGGAACCCCCTGAAAACCCCCGATAATCCTGTGAATCCGCGGTTTATATTCTCAGCTCCAAGCTTGGGAGGAAGTGGCCGTGGTGGCAGGCAGCTTTCGAATCAAGTGGTGTAAGGTTACAGAAATGACAGCAATTTGAATTGTTCAAGGCTTTCGGGCTGTAGGGCTGTGCCAGTTGAATTTCAGTGTGTTAGGTGTTGAGGCTTCAGGGTTTTATGTAGCGTTTTGGGGTGTTGGGCTAGGCTTTTAAGCAGCGGGAATTTGCTCCATGGCATTTTGGTGCCAAGACTTAAGCACGTGTTCGTTTGAGGTTGTTTCAACATGGATGGTTTAGATTAAGACCCATGGGTCCCATTCAAAGGGTTCCCACATGTTAATCCGGTTCACGGATCAGGATTCGAGGAGCTCCCACAAGTCGAGAACCCAGGTTTAGCCAGACATTCAGACCCACTTGGACGAATCCCCGACTTGAAAAGGTTGCAAGTAGGGTCTGTGACAAGGCGAGTTATGCAAGATAGTTTCAATAGTACCACACTGAGACGGCGATCTCCCTGTACTTCCATAGCCTTTACCCATCGCCTATACCATCCTACACCAAGCCCAAGCCCCTACATCCGAGCGCAGGTTTGAGGGTGTACCGGTCTGTGGGTTGGGAATTTCCTCTGGCTCTGGTTGATTGTCGTAGTGCATCTCACCTTTCGTCGTCATTCCTTGCGGGGCCTTCGAGAGCGGCAGTCGAAATCCGCAACCTTAGAAGCATCGGTAGAGAAATAAAGTATGCTAAATCTCACATCATTCTTTACGGTTTCCTTCTTACAACAAGAACATAATCTACCCCCAAGACCCTCCTCCAGTTAGAAACAGTCCTAGATCAGGCTTCATGTCAGATCCCTTCCGACTTGTGGGCCGGATGCAACCCCGGAGCTACTCACGATGCAGCCTAAGGAAACCGCGATACCCAAAGACCAAAACTTCAAGCTTCCGAGGGCAGAAGTCAAGTTGTTCTTTTTTCTGGATTTTTTAGGAACTGTTTTTCCCTGCAACTTTAGCCCAATCCTCCTTGAAATCCGTGCTCCGTACACAATGCGACCATGCAGACAACAAAGGCCTAAGTTCCAACAGGAGCATCATTGAACACCTTGTAAGCGCCGTCTGTGAATTGTAGATGCTGTCATCCTGACTGCAGGCCCAGAAAGCCCAACACCCGTAGATTAACGAATACTAGTCCTCACAAGAAACCCTGCATGACTCAAGGAACTATCTTCCTCAGACCCAGGCAAAAAAATCAGAGTCATTCATGGACGGTTCGTCGGTTTCGTGGGAGACACTGGGCCCGGCGGAACTCTTGAACCCGAGACATCTAAGTGCCCTCCACGCTGAACCTTGAAACAAAACGCCTTGAGCCCGGAACACTACACCCTAAACCAGGCAAGGGCTCCGGACCCCTTCGACCAGTTACCCTTCGTACAGCACTTCAAGAGCTTGGGTCGTCCCTGGGATACCAAATTGACTCTTCAGGGGTTTGGGGTTTTAGGGTCTTTGGCTTTCGGTTGCAGTTTAATGTTGGAAAGAACGAACCAAGGGAGACGTCATCATCGTGCTGCTAGATCAAAGTATAGAATGTTATAATGTGCGGGGCCTACCTTTGAAGACAGCCTGACACGTTGTATTGGCTGAGGCTGCAGGTTCGTTTAGGAGCTGGCTTCGGGTTTGTGCCATGGGCACTATCGGGTCCACCTCAAAGGTTTGAGGGTTAATGATGCAATTCCATTTATGTTTTCTCAACACTTGTTATCGTTACTTGTGTTATTGGCTCATGCAGTGACATGGTGCATATACAGAGTGTTGGGCACGTCGACGTATTAAGGGGCATCCTGCTGCATTTCGAGCTCCGTGAAGAACCGTCACGCAAAAGAAGGTACGGAAAGTACGCTGGCCTCCCCGGTGATGCCGACCTGTCCGATGCAGTGCTGGACGCAAAGTGCTCCATCCGCTTCCAGACGACGTTCCTCCCCGTGGATTCCGGCAGCAGTGGCTTGCCGATCGCAAGAAAGTAGTCGAAATTAATAGTCGTAGCTAGAAGTTTCGCTAAGTTATACATAATAAGCTATGCTTGGCAGGTAAAGGGCAGGTAGGACAGCACCGCTTGCAGATTTGCGCTCCGAACCCCAGCTGAACCCAGAAATGCGTGCCTGTCTAAGCCTGCTCCATGTATTTCTGTATATCCTTCCACCACTATGAACAACAGCCGAAATCTTTATGGAGTTTGCACCTGTGGCCCTTGGCTACGCCAATCACCTTTACTTTACGACACGTGCCAACAGCCCTATGATGTGTTGCAACACCTGAGGCATCTCAGCCGCTTAACCCCGGTAGACGACAGAGCTATGTAAAGCCCCACGAAAGTCATGCCGAAAGCCCCCGTATCAAAATCGACAGCGTTATCAGTTCTATTGGAAGATGTAGTCGTGGTGAGGACGATAACGCTTGTTACCACTGCTGCTACAACTGCTACTGCTGCCACTTCAATGAGGACGGCGGCGTCTACTACTACTGCTACTGCTGCTAGCACTAGTACTCGTGCTTGTAAGCTAGTGCTACTACGACAACCACAATGACAGCGACAATGATGACTACCCCGAGACCCTTAGCCTTAACCCTCTTTGCCAGGTGTGTCCGAGAGCGAAGGTCGAAACCCTAAACCCCAAGAGGTATCCTCACTACGGAACCTTTAAAGGAGCCCCCAAAACCCAAAGCCCCAAGAAGCCCTGACTCCTAAACCCAAAACCCTGGAAAGCCCCAAACACCTAAACCCTAACCAGGAACTTTCCAAGGGAACTTGGCTCCTAAACCCAAAACCCTAGAAAGCCCCAAACACCTAAACGCTAACCAGGAACTTTCCAAGGGAACTCACTCAGTAAAGCCGAGGTCGCGGAGCCCTGGAGTTCGCCAGTGAGGCGTACAACTACAATACCACGGAGGATTACCCCAGGAGCGACCTCAGCTTCGGCACATAGAAGGCTAGACACATAGTAGTCATAATAGGTAGCCTGATCATTGTTCTTGTTTTTGTTATTGGTAGTGTTAGTCTAAGGTTTAATGGTAGTAATATAGAAGGCTAAATACATAGTAGTCATAGTACGGTTGATGATATACATCCTGCATTACCCACAATAAGGAAGATACCATAATTCCCAGAGTTTAGGGTCCTTAAGGTTATGCAGGATTTACATCATCAACAGTAATAGTCTGATTATTGTTCTTGTTGTTATTGGTAGTGTTAGTCTAAGGTTAATAGTAGTAACAGTCATTGTTGCTACAGGTATATACGCACATATGTCCGTACATGCACATACACATGTTAGGTAGATGCATTGGGTCTGTCTAGCTTTTCTATAAGGGCTTCTGTGGGATGTTTCTTCAGGGGCTATTGCAAGGGTTTTTTTTTTGCTGAAAGGGTCAAAGTTTAAGGTGTTAGGGTTCCAGAGCTGCATCGTTGAGGGTTTGAGGGTCTAGGGCGTCTGGAGTTTGGCCTGAAGTGATTCGGAGCTTAGTGCATTGCAGACCGGACGAATAAAGCTACAAAGCTTTAAGCCCTGAGATGCCCATGTGTGGGAATGCCACCCTTCTGCTCTTCACTTTGAGGCGACATGCACCGAAGACTCCTCAGCACCAAGACTTGCTTCCCCAAAGCCCTATGCCGTAAATTCCCTAAACTCGTTCTGGCCTACGGCCTCTTAGAGCTTCAGCCACGATTCAACCAACCCCTCATCTACTTCATACAGCCCTATAAGACTGCTAAAAACCTTATAAAGCCCAAGCACAAAAAGACCGATGTCGTAAGCCCTGAGCCTCAGGCCTTCTCAACAACAACGGCCTATGCCCTGAACCCTAAATAATCCCTAAACATTCACAAGCAAAGGCAGTCTCGATAGACCTCGCCTGGATTGTCCGAGTTGTGAGAGTGTGACAAGCAACGACCAAACCCTAAACCCTAAACCCTAAACCCTCAACCCCAACCCTAAACCCTAAACCCTAAACCCTAAACCCTAACTCGAAACCTAAACCACCAGAAGCTGCCCCGTCGCAGGAACCTCCTACTTCTCTGCACGAGCCAAGGAATGGCGGTACAGCAGGACTGCCAGTCGTAGAAAAGGGGGTGTTTAAGAATCCTTCAAAGCTTTCAAGGTCTAGTGATCTGTTTGGCGACATTACAAGGGCTTAGCAGAGCAGTTTTTTGTTTTTTGTTTTAACGTTTTGGGTTCGATTCATAATTCAAACATGTTTGAAACCACATGTAAACCCTAAGCCCGAACGCATCCTAGATCCTAAGCCCTCAACCGTGCACAGCCCTTGGCCTCGAGGATGGGCGTGGCAAGAAGCGCCTGTACCACCACAGCACGGATGGACCGATGTTTGGGGGTTTGGGTTCAGAGTTTAGAGGTCTTTACTTGGAGGATCAGGGGACTTAGTAAGTGGGGTTATAGGTACTTTATTGGGTTTAGAAATAGATCTACCCGTATTTACTTTGCTCATATGATCCTGCTTACTACGGCCCCTGATTCTCCAAGTCAGGCTCAGATCGTAGTGTTCAGAATTTGGTTGTTGATGTTGTTTGAGTTGCGTGTTTCGGCATCTAGGGTTTGAGTTTACTCTCAACTCAAAAGCCGTCTAAGCCCTAACTCACTTTATCCTTGCAGGCCCTAGTACTGCTTTAGGGTAAACCGTTTTTTGAGAGGTAGCTATCTATATATGTATATATATATATAATCTATATATCTGTATATCTCTGTGTGTGTATATATATATAAGTTATAAGGCCTTGTGGGTTTAAGTGTTCAACCGGCAAATTCTGCAAAGACAGGACAGGGCAAGATCCATCGCTACTGGCTGGAGGCCGTTTCTGGGTGATCTCCATATTCGCAGAACAAAGCATGACTACATAAGAAAGAAAGTATACGCATAGAAGTACATGCATATGGAGGGGTCAGAATAATGAAAAACAGTATCCGGCTGTAGCCCTTCTATAACTGCAATATGCTACCATCTACTCCCAACACATGCAAGCCCCATATTACGCTCCCTGACACCTTCATGCCAAGATAAGCGAGGCCCAAAAGCGCGAGCATCCCACACGCACAAGCTTGCTGCTACTCTTGCTCCTGCTCCTGCTCTTCCTCTTACATCCCCTAATAGGTTTTAAAAACGGGAAAGATTTCAGGGGGATTTCCCGGAAAGTGCCTTTTGTTCTTAGGGGTTTGAAGAATCGGGCAAGGGGGAAGCGACGATCTCATACGGTTGATGATCTAAATCCTGCATTACCCATGATAAGGAATATACCATAATTCCCCTAGTTTAGGGTCCTTAAGGTAATGCAGGATTTATATCATCAGCCGTGGTACCCTTCTCTCTTTTGCACGCGAAAGGCTCGAAGACTCGCGGATCTTCCAACCAAAGATCCCTCACTGAGAAGCCCGAAAGCGTGGCAGCACTTCGTGGTTTTAAAGAGGCCCCGCCAAAAGGAAGAACTCGACCCAAGAAGCGCGACCGCAGATGTTGGGAGTTCTTTCACCCCAAACCTTTGAAGTCTACATTGTTGTCCGAAGTTCAGGCCCCAAAGCCCTAAACCCTGAACCGTAAACCCCTAAACCCTAAACCCTAGATCCGTAAACATCTAAACCCCTAAACCCCGAAACCCTAAACCCCCGAGATCGAGGGGTTCTTGCAGTTTCTGGAGACTCGTCCGACTCTTCGGGCTTCCAGACAGGCGGAGGAGAGCCGCCACCGCGTGGGCGGGCCACAGGAGGAGCACATCCGGTGTTTGGGGTTTAGGGTTTACGGTTTGGGGTTTAGGGTTTGGGTTTTGGGTTTGGGGTTAGGGGTTTAGGGGTTTTGGGTTTGGACACTTGCATGTATGAACTCGAGTCCAGGGCGGGGGTTTCTTGCAGGGATCGGAGTTTGTCCATAATCGTATCTTCTTCATAGACCTTATACAATCACAGCATCACTTATGTAATCTACTGCAGAACCGGATTGGGCTTAATAACGGCCCTACATTGGCGAGTTCCAGAGGATGAAGATGTGTATACCCGTCGGCCTTCGAGTACGAGAGGCGGTGTTCATGGCTTGGGTTAAGACTAAAAGACTTGAGGGTAGGGGTGGGGAACCCCTAAATCCCAAAAAATTCCCCGCAAGACGCGGGCTCGCCCTAGCTGTCCTAGCCAGGTGGGAGGCAAAAAAGAACCCGAGTCGACTCCAAGGTTAAAGCCGGGTCCTTGAGACCTTGACATCCCTAAACTCCCAGAAAGACTTACCCTCATGAAAGGACACATCTAAGGAGCTCAGAACAAGGGCGAATCCAATAAGGCAGGGGTTTGGGAGGGGGAGGGGGTGGTTGCGAAAAATCCCAATTTTTTTACACCCTGTCGTCTCTAAAGACGAATCCCCAAACCCCTTAAACCTCTAAAGCCTAAACCCAAAACCCCTTAAACCCTGAGCCCTCATCCCATGCCCTAAAGCAAGAGGAGACCGCCGAGGAGCGTGCTGAGGCACTCCAGAGAGGCCTTAGTAGCAGAGAAGGTAACCTTCAACCTTTTTCGGTGGTTTAGGTTTTTTTGGCAATTTTGGGGCTAGGGTTCAGGATTTAGGGTTTAAAGGTTTAGGGTTTAGGGTTTGGGGGTCTTTAGGGTTTTAGGGTCTAGGGTTTCGTTCTGAGGGTTTCTATCTAAAGATGTAATCTCAGAGGTCAACCTTTTTAGCTCCCCTAGCATACTGGACAGCTAAGATTTAGGGTTTGAAGGAGATCGAGGCTTCGAGCTTTCGGAGTACAAGGGCTTAGCTTCAGGTTTTCCGTGAACCAGTTTTTGATTTAGAAACCCTTCCCGCTCTCTTATATAAGGATTAGAATAGGGATCCGGATATCAGGGCCTTTAAAGAGAGGGCTGGGGGGGGGGGGGGGA